CCCCCATGTCTCTGGATCCCTGGGCCTGTGGGCAGCCGCCTCTAGCTTGTGCGTGTGCGTGTGTGTGTGTGTGTGTCCCAGGGGAGGGCACAGATCCTGCCCCCCTCCTCCCACGGCGTCACGGCCACTGCCCCCAGAGCGGCCCAGCGGCGCGGTCGCCCTGCCTCACACCCAAGAGATGGGAACGCACAGGCCCCACCTGCCCCTGCTCAGATCACACCAAACGTTGCATGTTGGAGTAAAAAGTGTTTATTTAAAAAAAAATGCAATCAATAAAACACACGTCAGACCGAGTGAGTCCCCTGGTGTCTGGGGAGCATGCGCGGGGGGGAAGGGGGGACGCGGGCGCAAGGCAGGAGCAAGAAACGCTGGTGGGCAGGCGCCGTCCTTCGGCCTCAGGTGTGTGCAGCACCTTGCACAGCAGCATGGTCCGTAACGGGGGTTCCTCCGTGGGAATCACCTTTGCCAGCCCGCGGGCCTCTAACCCTGCCTTGGAGCGAGCCGGGCGGGGGATTTTTGAGGACCAAAGAGCAGGGAAGGGGAACCCCCATCCCAGGCTGAAATGACCCCACACGCCCAGTGTGGGGCACGCAAGCTTCCTCCTGAAGTTGGGGGGTGGGGAACTTGCTGCCTGAAAGGACAAAGCCAGGACAAAACTCACCCCTTCCCCCTGCCTCAGCCGGCCCTGAGCCTGGCTCCTCCCAACCCGGTTTGCATCCATTTCACTTTGTATTGCCAAGAACCCCAGATCCAGCGGTCGCTCGCCTCTACCTGCGTGGGCCATAGAAGAGACATTCGCCTGGCTCCAAGCATGGCCCCTTCTGCCCGTTTTGGGCTTGGCCCTGGGAGTGATGCCAGTGCCCAGCCCACAGCAACATCCCTGAGCTCTGATTTCTGCTCCCCCACCTCTCAGGAGAGAACCCCAAGCGCTCTGCAGCAGAGGGGTGACGTGAATACTGGGGGGGCTGCCACTTGGGATGTGATGCGGTGGCAGGGGGCAGAG